ATACGGTGATGAGAGCGCATGAAAAGCGTGGTGGTATTTTACCCAAGTCTATCTCTTGCAATGAATTCCTTTCTACGATTAGTTCTTGTGAGTTGATAGATATTGCCATTCGTGGGGCTCCGTATACTTGTTCGAATGGAAGAGGTGTCCATTCTCATATCGACATGCACTTGGACAGGAGTATGTCATAAATCAATTGGCTTGGTTCTCGGCCAAATTCTTCTTGTTCTCTATTTTTTAGGACATCATTGGATCAACACCCTTTGTTATTTTACTTTAGCAAAATGGAAAGGATGTGACCTTCACCTTTCCGTTTCCAAAGAATGTGGAAATTTCATGATACTTTTCTAATCGTTGTGAAGGAGTCTTGGGTCTTAGAGGGTATCTATGACTGCCCTATGTTCATAGTTATTCAGAAAGTTAAACGGTTAAAGCAATGTTTGAGGATTTGAAATAAAGAGATTTTTGGAAATGTTCATGTGAAGGTGGAATCGGCTGTCTCCTTAATCAAGGAAATTCAATTCCGAATGGTCATTGAGGGCTTCTCGGAAGATTTATTTCCAATGAAACTAAATTGTAACGAACCACTCCAATTGTTAAGATATTGTTTGTTTTAGTGTCCATACACCATTACGGTCTTGTTCCCCTAAGATTTTGCCCCAGAAAAAGGCCTTTTGACAATTAAGGGTATGCACACCACATATATAACCTAGTCATTCCCCCTGCCAAGTTGATGTAAGTTGCAAGACATAAAGCTATAACATCTCCTCACCTCAGAAGGACTTTTGGTAGGCTACTACACTAATTGTCAAGAGACTTTTTTTTTGGGGGGGGGGGGGGGGGGGAAGCCTTAGAAAAACAAAACTGTGAGGGTGTATGAGTACCAAATCAGACAATATCTTAATAATTAGAGTAGGTCGTTAAGGGTGATTTCAGAGCCGACACTCCTACTGTTAGTGTGTGTGTGTTGGGGGGGGGGAGGGGTAGACCCCACGTGGGCCTCACAAGGACGCGTGGTTTCTAAGGGGGTGGAGTGTAGTAGCATGCCAGACGACCTTATGACTTGAGGAGGTGCTATAGCTTTATGCGTTGCATCCCACATCGACTTGGGGGGGGGGGGGGCGAGAGTGACTGGGCTATATATGTGGTGTGATTACCCTTAATTGTCTGTAGGGCATTTCTGCGGAAAAACCCTAGAAAGAGAAAATCGTGAGGGTGTATGGGCACTAAAGCAGATAATATCTTGACAGGTTGGACAAATTATTACATAAATTGATCCCATTTTTTTTCGTCCAAAATATATCAACTTCTTGACACGACCCCCAATGATGGACAACAGAATCAACATACTTCCTACTGTCAAACAATCCCATCAATCCGCATCTATCTCTCTCTCCATTTTAATTTTAAATTGTGCAATAAAAAATACTAAATTATTATTTAAATTACAAATATTGCAAGATCAACTTAATTTTTGATATTGTGTGGTGTTTTTAGGTACCGACTACTGCTAGTTCATATATACATGATATCTTATATCATTTTCAAGTTATTTTAATTTATAGAAGTTGAATTTAAAGTGATGATAAGTATATTTGCCCACATGATAAGTTGATTAGACACTTTTCTACATAGTAGGTTAACAGAACGTGTGCTCAACATGAAATAAGCGGATTTTGATTTGCTAATTTCCAAAAAAGGAAAATGATATGACCCACAAACCCAAATAATAAATGAATTAACCATTAGCAGTGTCAAACATGAATAATTCACCTTTGTAAGACAACAAATTTACCTTGTATAGTGTGAAGAACATTTTTTATGTTTTCTATTTTTTTTTCATTTCTTGATCAGGTATTCTACAAATTTCTATTGAATTGGTGGATTCTTACTTAGTTTTTTAAACATCTAGAGCATGTAGATTTTAATTTATGTGGTAATAGAGAAAAGGTCCTTATAAATTACGGATGGTACACATGTTATGTTTGTTGACGTGAACAAGACATGTACATAGACTAGTCGAATTATGGTCAACTACCAGGCCATATTGTAACAAAAATAACACAGTCGAACATCCAACAATTGTCAACCCTAGCTCAAGGCTAATTAACTCTCTTATAGTGAAGAAAACAAGAATCAATGTGGACCCAAGTGGTTGTCAAGAGAAGTTAAAACACATACATGGACTCCATACATCATCTTCATCCTTTGCTGCATAGATATGGCATTACACTACTATAAATTTCATAAAGGGAGAGATAGTCCTTGTATTTCAGACCTTATTTTATGGTCTCATATTTCCAAAAATAAAAAATTCCATTGCTTTTTAAGGCTAAAAATGAGGTGTATTAGTAGTTAAATTGTTGAAAAAATATACATCGTTAGATATGAGTGACCACTGAAGCACCAATGGTTGGTTTTGGACCAAACCTTATATTTAGAGGAAAACAAATTCCTATCAAGGTTTTCACTGATAAACTTTGAGAAAAGATCATTAACAATGTCTACAAAAAGTCCTATGGCATGATCCATGGCATCCTCAAGGCCCACTCTATGATCAGGTGGGGGACGATATGCTTTGGGGCTTGAGTTTTGATACTATACTGATGATAGAGTGAGTGGAATTATTAGCGATGGTTCCTAGAGTTGGCCTAGGACAGCAATCCAAATCCTTGCTGACATGTAACTAAATCCAGAAAGAGAGGACTGTATTGAATGGTTTCTAAATATATCAGGTTTTAGCATTTAATCAGCATGGGAGACAATTAGACCTAACGGGAGTATCAAAGTTGGACCAGCATTGTTTGGTAAATGCAGTTCCCAGATTTAGTTTTGTCTTATGGTTTTCAATACAACAGATGCTTGCTACCCATGATAAAATTATAAGCCATGGGGTGGTCCATAGTGGTCAGTGTCTTTTCTGTAGAGGAGAAAGTGAAACCCATAATCACCTTTTTTTCAACTGCCCTTACACTGATAGGCTATGGCTATCCTTGCAAGTGAAGTGTGTTGTTCAATGACCTAATATGAATTGATAGAGTTTCATTCCTTGGTTTTTTGCCACATCAATGGGAAGGGTTTGAGCAAGCTAATCAAAAACCTTACTTTATCTACTTCATTTTACTTAATCTGGAGAGAGAAGAATTATAGAGTTTTTAAGAACAACTTCAAGGATGTTAATTCCTTAATAAACAAGGTAATTGAGAATAGAAGATATAACTCCATCTAATCAAAGGTGTCAACAAAAATATGCCAAATCTCTAGCTTCAAAAGCAATGGGGATTGCCATAAACAATTTTTGAGCCTCCTTGAGAGCATGTAGTGTGCGGAATGATTTTTGCACAATAAATGAGATGACAGATCTCTCTCTTGATGAGCTTGTGTCTATTTGGAATGTCTTCTAAACAGAACCCCTCTTGTGCTTCCCATAATAAACGGCTATGGAGACTTCTCACTTGAGAGAGAATAGTTAGAAGGGCACCGGTGTGACCCATTCGATGCTCAAGTCAGTATTCGAGAGAGGGTGGGATGCATACCTTTCCTTTGAGCTTGAGTGTGCTATTTATTCCTTCTAGGAATTGACTGAGGCAGACAGTTGGGTCTCCTTGGAGGGAAAGTTTCTGGTTGGTTCATACAGGGGACAACAAATGGTATGCAGACCTTGATCAAAGTGTTTACTTTTATCTACACCAGATGATTCCGCAGGTTTGCACTCAGGACCCCGAGAACTTAATGTATCCATCTCGGCTCCTCTAAGCATGGAAAGTTTCTCTTGCTTTTGTCAAATTATTTAATGTTCCCAAGGCATGGACATACATGCGCATGGGCATTTTAGCCAATCTCCCATTCGAGGGTCATGAATTAATTGTTCCATGCACTGTACATCTCTATCATTGGTCATTGAATTGCTTTTCTGATCATTCTTATTGCCTTGGAGGGTCAATAACTGAGAGTCAACCTTGCCCCCAAGCTGTAATGTTTAGAAACTACTTTATCTTGATCAAAAGACATGTTTGCCTTAGTCAATTATCTCTACCTTTGAAGTCAAAGTTTATTGTCTTGCAATGTGGTCGGTGCTGAGGTGAATCATCACTGGATGCCGAAGGTATCTCCAACGAGGAGGGGCTTCTCCACTGAGATGAGTTACCCGAGGATGCCGAAGTGTCATAGACATCGTCAAAGTACACATGACTCCCATACCGAGGAAGAACCCACGCGCCGAGAACTTGACTTGTGTCGCGTGTTGCTCTGTCACTATTTGCCAAAGTGTCCCATCAATTACCGCTAACCCTTGATCTTCATACGAATCGGGTGACGTGTTAGGTGGAGATGGAAAGACTTGTGTCATTTTGTTTTTCACAAGAGGCGTGTAGCCATTTTCCCACCTTTAGGGATCGTATCATATTTACTTGTGCTCATCTTGGAATGTGGGTAATGATAGCATCTTTGATGTATATGAGTGTTCCACCCCCTCATTCTCTTCGTTATCTTCTCTGTGAAACCTTTCTGAAAAGTTCACTAAAAATCTACTCAAAGACCACCGCCTTCCATTAGAAGTTCATTAGACCCCTCGAGTTTGACAAAGAAACTAGAACACCCACATATATTAGACCCCTCTGGTTGGGTCTGGAGTGGAACCAGGGGTTCGGGTCCAAGAATTATGGGTGGTGGGTACGACTGGTTTGGTAGCACCAGGTTGTGTTGGGTTTCGGCCGGGTTGCTTTTTAGATTGAGGAGGTTGGCAAATGGTATTAGTTGTGGGAAATGGGCCGGGTTTTGATGATGGGTTGGGCATATTGAGAGATGGGTTGGGCAGATTGAGAGATGGGCTGGGTTTGCTTATCTTGAGAATTATGGGGTTGACATGTGGCATAACTTATGGGTGGTAAATCATGCAAAGGATGCCCATTTTTATGGCCAAAAGTCAAACAATCCTCATTATCATGCATATCCTCACGTGTAGCAACAAAATATCTTGCAATATTTGTTTGTGCACGTGGTTATACATAATGTCTAGGTTCGGCAACATTCAAATTAGGAGATAAATTAGCTGGCCGCATATCAAGTGATTGAGCTAAAGTCAAGGGACTAACCAAAACCTCCTTGCCTTTGTGCCTGTGGCTCTCTATGCATGCACTAGTGGGGGCAACCAATGCTACATCGGAGATGGCTGCGGAGTCAACGTGATGTAGGTCGCTGGCAGTGGGGTGGTGGATGACTCCGCCGGTATAGGTGTGTGCATTTGGAGGAGTGTCCGAGGGTAGGTTTAAGCCAGGGGTTGGGTCATCGCTGACGGTCGGATTGGCTATGGGATTGGTTGATGAGGGTAGTATGTCGGTGATGTTATGTGCAGTCGGTGGCTGAACATGTGTTTTTTATTGGAGTCGGTGGCTGGTAAGTTAAAGTAATATCAATTTTTGAATGAGAAATAAATTCATAAATTCTTTAACTTACTAAGCGATGCGGTATCTGTGGTTGAACATGTGTATTTTAGTGGAGTCAGTGGTTGACAGTTGATACCCGATGCGATGCACAAAGTTATAAAATATTATTGCACTTGTATATTTTTCCTGCATTCAGACAATTCATACATCAAAAACATCTCTTGACTCTTATCTGAACAACTTAATTCCAATAATTAACCACTAGAGGAGATAAAGGCCTATATCTAAGTGGTAGTCATCCCCCTCTCAATGCACTTGAATGTATAATTTTCCATCACTCCTGTGTGCATTAGAGATTGGGGTAGAGCACTACATTCTTCTATTGAAAAGCTACACAGAATTGAATTGGGAACAATGGGTTGCTATTGTTATTAAGTTTTGATCATCAGAATCACTATTTACATATTAGTCGATTACCTTATTTAATTATATGATGATTATTGGATTTGATTATATAGAATACACTAAATTTGTATATTAGGGCATAATAAACCCAACGGAGGTCCACCAAGTTCATCCCTCCCTAACACTCCACCCTTCATTCCCACACTTAACCACCATTCCAACCCTCTAACATCCACCTTGAGCTCTCACTAGTTATTACACCTTATTAATCACAATCTAGAATTTATTGAATAGTGAAAGAAAGAATAGAGTGAGAACATAAGTAACTTGTGATCAATATCATTATTTGGACGTTGAGAATGCATAATAATTGTAGTATGGCCAACTCCAGAATGACAATATCAAATAGATTGCTAGATCCCAACCTAATATTAAAAAGTGGTATCTACATAGAAACATTGAAAATAAGGTACAAGAACTAACATTCTACAAAATTAATGGAAGAATAAAATTAGACTGTTACCAAAAATAACTTTTGATTGTTAAAAAGTATGGACCTAGTCCATATGACATCAACACCATCATGACCAAATTCTGCATCAATTACACACAAATCATCCATAGCTCTTTCATATTGCCATCAATGAATAGATCCATCTTACTTTCATGTTACAAAAAAACATGGCTCCATTATGGTCTTTCAATCCCATATCTTTTGCATATTATCATTGTAAAATGGGAAAAGGGATACGTTTGAGGAGGAGGGGTAAAAGTTCGAAAGAGAGACTTGAATGAGTGGAGATCTGTTGTTTGATAAGATATGGAGTGGAGAGTTAAAATTGAGAAACGTGGGTAGTTTAAAAATTGCGGTTATTTGTCAGTTCAAAACAGAGTTATTCTTATCTAAAAGGGAAAATTAAATGATCATGCAAAACTAAAAGAACTAATAAAAAGTTGCCAAGTAATGTTTTTCTAAAACTTTGGAATTAAAAATTCAGAAAATTAGAGAATCAGATTTGGAGTTTAATTGTAGATACATTGCTATAGAATATAAAGATCTCTTATCTCTCATCTGAACAACTTAATACCAATAATTAACCTCCAGAGGCCCACCAAGTTCATCGTTCCTAACACTCCACCGA